AGGGTTGTATATTGTCACTTTTGGGCCATATTGAAGTCATTTTCGGGATTTGAGTGTGTCATGAAGTTGTGACTTCAGATCTACGCACTTATAAGCTTATGAAGCTTAAAGTTGCTAGCTTTATCAAGCCTTGGCCCTTCCCCATTCCCTAGATCCCTTATATAGCTTAGTTTTGGTGTTTTTAGCTTCATGACACCATGCATGAACGTAAAGTTAGCAACTTTACGTGGTAACTTAGTCCTAGGGGACCAGATCTATGACTTGGAAGCATTGAACTCGACTGGAAGTGAGTGAATGGATTTAGACTAAGGGGGAATCGACGAGTTGTTCATCCAACTCGGGGAATTGGGTCGTGGTCCCCCAACCTTTTCTATTATTGAGAAAACTCGTTGAGTCTAGGAGATGACTCAGCGAGTTGGCCATGGTTTAGGGTTATGAAGATTGAGGAACTCGACGAGTTCAAGGAGGAACTCGGCGAGTTGTGAGTGAAATGTCCCGAATATGTTATGAGGATGAACTCGACGAGTTGGATCGAAATTTCCAGGGTTTTTATGGATCATGGAACTCGACGAGTTGAGGGTCCAACTCGGTGAGTTGAGTCAACCAAGATGTTGACTTTGACCAGTACGTTGACTTTGACCAAAAGGTTGACTTTGTCTTGGACTTTGACCAGAGTTGACCCTTAAAGGGGTTATGAGTATGAAAGAGTAATTAAGGAGATTTTATGTGTAGGAGTTTAAGGATAGTTGATTCCAGAGCGAAGGACAGTTCAGCTACTTCACGACATTGAGGTGAGTTACCTTCCAGTAGAAGTGGGTCGAACTCACCAATGTCGGCCCACTAGTAATAGTTATAATAGAGATGATTGTCTTTGTGATAATTATCTGGTATGTCACTATCTGTTATGCTTTATGTGCTAGTATGCTATGATGTTATCTGATAGTGGTAGGAGGGGTAGGATAGTCCCCAGTATCGGTCGAAAGGGCCGAAGGGGTATGCCAGCACCCTGATAAGCTAGGCAGTATATGACTTATGTGTTTATGTACTAGGATGTTATGTGTGAGAACCCAAAAAAATTTACCTTGTAAGTCCAGCCAATCAATCGAGAGTCAGACTCATTTCTGCTATCTTTTAGCATTATTTAGGGTCTGTTTGAGTGTTCTAAGCCTAGTGCATTCAAGTTTTGAGTTTAGGGATGAGTTAACTTAGGTTCTTCATGTTGCACTCGAGCCAAACACTCCACCAAGAGGAGTGTACGGCCGCACACATGGGTGTACGGTCGTACACCCAAGGTGGCCGTGAACCCATGCCCATATATAAGTCAACCCTTCATTTCTTCACACTTCCAAGTCAAGAAAGTCAATTCTCTCTCAACTATCATCAAGCTTTTCACCTTGATCTTCAAAAAAGTAAGTATTCCTTGCATTGATTAGTTGATACGTTGCATTATCTAGTTAAGATCCATGATTCAAAGCCTTGAAACATCATCAAACTCAAGAACATCAAGAGTTCACGGTCGTACACTCTATCTACGGCCGTACACCCTTGTTAGAATCATAATCTAAAGCCTTAAGCACTTGCTAGGTACTTGTTATCCATTAGAACTCTTGAGCCCTTGAATCCTTTTGAATCAAGACCTAAAAATGCATCCATTTTGGAGTGTGTACGGTCGTATAAACTTGGTGTGGCCGTACACATCTCAAGTCCTTCCAAAATCAGAGTTTTGTTCATCCTCTTGTTGTGCATTTGTCACACTAGTTTCCCCACGGATCAAACACCCTCTTTTTGCATGTTTTCCCATGAGTGTAAGGTCGTACACTCCATGGCCGTACACCCCTTGTCCGTACACTCCCTTGCATGACCATAAACCCTCTTCAGTTAATCACATGTGATTGTAACACTTAGTTCAAGTGTTTCCTAGTCCCTAAGGGTATTTTCTTGCATGTTAGTTGTGTAAAACACTAATTACATGCCTATATATGCCATTATATGTCAGTTAGGACTCGTTTGTGTCTCGGGAATTCATTCGTGGAACTTCTCATCCTTACGCGAACCCTACAATTGAATCACCCACATAAGGTGAGTTCATACCCCTATAATCAATCTTTTGAATGTTTTTACATCCTTTTAAGGGGGGGGATACAAGTTGAACACAATGATAATTGTGTAAATGTTATTTGTGATAACCATCATATTCAAAGGATTTCTTATACCTTATAAGTGATCAAAACCATTTCAAAAACTCTTTTAAAGTTATGTTACTTTGTTGTTTATAAAACTCTGTTTTTGAAGTACAATCATAACTCAGTAGATAAATGAGTATTTTCTTCAAATCAGTAATAGTTCAAGTAAACATACTAGTAAACTATAATTGGTATAGTTTAGGGGTTCAGTTCATACTATAGCTAGTACAGAGAGGAACATACTATAACTAGTACAGGGAGGACCATACTATAGCTAGTAATAGCTAGTACAGGGAGGAGCATACTATAACTAGTACAGGGAGGAGGAGCATACTATAACTAGTACAGGGAGGAGCATACTATAAGTAATACAGGGAGGAACATACTATAACTGTAACAGAAGAACAAATCATGAATTACACACTTATAGTATATATTCCTAGTATCCTAGGAAGAGATCGTATCTTTAAATCATTGTTTATAACAAATTATGTTAATACATCATATCGGGTTTGCACTAACAAAGGTACAAATACAACATACCAGGGTTAGCAAACACGAGGTAATAATACATCATACCGGGTTTGCACTAACAAAGGTACAAATACAACGTACTAGGGTTAGCAAACACGAGGTAATAATACATCATACCGGGTTTGCACTAACAAAGGTACAAATACAACGTACCAGAGTTAGCAAACACGAGGTAATAATACATCATATCGGGTTTGCACTAACAAAGATACGAATACCACATACCAGGGTTAGCAAACATGAGGTAATAATACATCATAGCGGGTTTGCACTAACAAAGGTACGAATGCCACGTATGTAACATCCCAAAATTCAAGACCAAAAATTTCTTTTTAATTAAGTTATTATATAAAACCATCAGTATAAAAACATTCATATTAATATCTCATGTCAAACCAAAGTGTCAGTAATCAAAACATGTTATCATAAAGTAATATCAGAGTGTAATTCCAAAGATCTCATGTGCGGAAAAACATAGTGTGATGCGCTGCGATCGAGCCGGCGCCTTTCCTTTGAAAACGAAGTACCTGAAACCAAAACTGAAAACCGTAAGCACGAAGCTTAGTGAGTTCCCCCATCATACCACATACCATACAATCACATACTGCCAGGCATATCTGGGTGCCCGACCTACCCTGTCAAGCATATCTGGGTGCTCAACCTACCCTGTGAAGCTATCTGGGTGCTCGACCTACCCTGCTGAGCATACCGGTGTGCTCAACCTACCCCTGCTAGGCATACCGGGGTGACTAACCAACCCCTGTCAGGCATATTTGGGTGCCCGACCTACCCCTTCGGTCCTGCCGACCGGTAACCGGGGACTATTTCACCCCTACTACTACCACATAATATCATATCACATATATCATAATCTGTCTAGCATAGTTGGGTACTAAACTACCCCTTCGGCCCTATCGACCGGTAACTGGCGACTATTCCCCCTACTACCACTATCACATAACATCATAGCATGCCAACACATAAAACATATCAGGTAGTAGCAAACCTAGATGGTTATAACAAAGACAATCATCTATCATACAACTCCTACTAGTGGGTCGGCATTGTGGCCTTAGACCCACTTCTACTGGAAGGTAACTCACCTCACACTGCTGAAGTCCCGCAGACTCAACCCCAGCTGCTGGATGACAGAATCCCGATCTGTCAATATCAAAACATCACCCAATTAATAATTGGGTCCCAACACATAACCATAAATACATACTTGGGGGTAAATACTACTTTTCCCCTAACGTAGCTTTATTCAAGCCCAAAGTCCAATCCAAAGGCCCAAAAGTCAACTATGAGTCAAAGCCCAACACATGGCCCAATTTTCCAAATTGGCCCAAAAATTTATAAGGTCTTACCATAAGGCCCAGTCCAACATTCAATATTCTAATGGCCCAATATGACATAATCATAAAGGCCCAAACTATGGCCCAAGTTCTAAATTGGGCCCAACTCCTCATATGGGCCTTACCTCAAAGCCCATTAATTATTCTAGTCCATTTGCTTGCTCTTGGATGGCCCATTAGTAACCCAAATCATCAAGGCCCAATAGAAAGGCCCAACAATAAACCCAAGTGAAATTAGGGTTTCACATAAAATGACGATTAGGGTTAAGTTTCCTACTTAACCCATTAAGGACTTAATCCACTAAGGACTTAATCAATTAAGTCCAATATTGTTTAGATTAATTTTTTGCCAATGATTATTTTTTTTAATATCTCAAGTTATCAAGTAATTCCCATGTGTCCGGATTAATTCCCCAAATTAGGGTTTCATTACATTAGGGTTTTCCAATCCAAATATTAGCCCATTTACCAATTTGTTGGGCTTTTAGGTCAATTAGGGCTTTATTGGGCCTATTAGGCCCACTAGAATATCATTAAACCCATTAGGGTTTTATTGGGTCAATAAGGGTCCACTAGGGCTTACAAGGCCCATTAGGGTTTTAGTCTCTTGTCCAAATATCCAAACGAGTCACATTACAAATGAGGCACACCGCCACCCGACACGGCGGCCGGTGGCGGCAGGAGGCGGCAGCCACCACGTAACGGTGGTGGTGACAGATTTTCTTCACTATTCCAATTAATATAAAATTACAACAAAATAACCAAACCGCATACACACACTCGGTTAAACACATACACACACAACCACCTTGTGGTGGCCGGCGGTGGCGCAAGGCGGCAACAGGTGGCTGCGAAGAATTTCCTTCCCGCTCCCGAAGGTTTCCGGTTGCTCACGACCACACAGCAGCAACAAAATCCGTTCAAAGGTTTAGCCACCCACCTGGTGGCTCTCGGCGATGGCAGCCATAACAACATAACGTCTGACGGTGGCAATGGCGCGAATGACGGCGACAGCCGCGGTTAACCGCGACATCGAGTCTAGCAGCGAGGCGGCTGGAGAAGGGCACGAGGATGACGAAGCAGCGGGGACCGGTGGCTTGGGATGCAACATGAGAACGGATCGGAGAGGAGAGGAAATATGTCGCTGGGAGCAGTGGAGGAAGAACCAAGCGACGGCGGCAGCAGCTTCCGGCTTCGTCGTCATCGGCGGCGGTTGAGAAAACAACGACATTAGCCACGATAAGGGGTGACGGCTGGAAAGGGTTTACTGGAGTGTTGGTGTGGAGGGAGGCGACGCCGGAGGTGGGTAAAGGAGGGGTGGCGGCTTGTGTGGAGGGAGGCATAAGGGGGTGACGGCTGGAAAGGGTTTAGCTAGGTTTAGGGTTTCATATTCCATATATACGAAGGGGTGACGGGTTTACACCCGGTGATGCATCTTTCCCATAATTACAACTACGGTCCCTCTTTCCCCTTTCTTTCAACATGAGTCCATAAGTTACCCTTTTAATCCCAACATTAAAAATCCATTACAAAATAAGTCCTAAATTTACCCAACAACCCCTCCCTCTACAAATTGTTATCAAAAGGTCCCCTAGCTTCCAAAATCTTTTCAATTTAGGTCCACATGATCAAACTTCAGCCATGTTAACATTTTTAGTCCCTCCTCCTCTCATTCGTTTCAGCTTAAGTTCAAATAATTACCACAGAGCCCCTATCTTCATTAATATTTACAACCTGAGTCCGAATTTTACACTTTTAAACCCCCAATCTGTAAAATTGTGACAATTAGCTCCTCGAGACCAACACCCTGCATATATAATTATTTATTTTAGGGCTACCATTCGTTCCTTAATTTATTTATTTATCTAATAAATAAACATGTGTTACAACTCTCCCCCACTTAAATTAGATTTCGTCCTCGAAATCATTCCTTACCATTCCTTACACGCCCAACTACTCAAGTAACATGGTCACCATCCTGGGCACACTCTAGCCTTCCCAGGGTAGCCGTGACCAATCTTTGCAAAGCCCTAATACCCGAAGGTGAACGAATTTCTCGCAACAAGATCACATCTACTCCGTCTAAAATTTGCTATCTTGAGATGGCCTGAATCCCTGGCAGACCACTCATATTGAATCATTATCGTTGAATTCAGTCCACTTTGTCCTTCAACTGACTACTCAACTTCTGATAACTCGAGGTTCCCACTATAAAATCTGGATCACAAGCCCAATTACCTCTGTAGGTCACTTATACTCGGCTAAGGCTCAGATAATCCCACTGCAATTGACTTAGCATAACCCAAGCAATCTGTTATTCCGTCCATACTTGCAACCCAAAACACAAATACTAATACTGCCACTTGTTGAATCGTTCGATCATTGAACTGCCTGAAGCAGTATGCTGCCACACGGCTGCTTGCCAAAGTCTACCGAGACCTTCCTGGTTTCAATTCATCCGTCAGTCATCGGAATTACCGGGTTCTGGCCCGGTCGCCGAGCCAAAAGGGCTCCCACTTAGTCGCCTCACACGACTTCCGAATGAAATCCTTATCTCTTGAACTAGTTGCCACTAGTTATCACGCCACTGAGGCTCTAATAACCTTCCGATCTAACTGGTCAGGTCCGTGCGTCAAATCCTTACGTCACCAAATCCAAGACTAAAGTGAATGTTACCTGACCAATGGTAGCCTTATATCACAAGCAATCTTATACAGTCCATTGTTTCCCTGATCCCATAACTGTAGTGGCGCTCCTACAGTCTACTCTCTAGCTCAACCAGATCTAATCCATCTGGGTAATTCCGAAATCCAATTCATGGATCTCCATATCCTCACTGCTGCACCCGAATTGGTGGGTACCACTATTCCTTCTGCGTTCCAACAACACGCTCATGCCATCTATCAACCTAGTGAATGCTACGGCTACACCCGCAGACTTACAACACTTTCCATACTACCTGATCGCTAGTGAATGCTACGGCTACCCCCGTAGTCTTACAACACTTCCCATGCTAACTGACCACTAGTGAATGCTACGGCTACCCCCGTAGTCTTACAACACTTTCCATACTGGGTCGAACACGCATTCGACCTAACATACAACTAAACTTGAGTCCTAACTGGAGCTCTACCCTGGTTCCCGAAACCTATTGTCTGAGAGTCTTGAAGGCTGTCTGTTGCTCAGGCCCCAACGAAAGGCCACCGACTTTTTTGGTCAGTCGGTTCAAAAGAACTGCAATCTCAGAGAAGTCCCGTATAAATCTCCGGTAATAACCTGCTAGACCCAGGAAACTCTGAATCTCGGTTGGAGACCTCGAAATCTCCCACTGCATCACGGCCTCTATCTTGGCCAAATCGACCAGAATACCCTTCTGGTTGACAAGGTGCCCAAGAGATTGCACCTCGCGCAACCAGAACTCACAGTTGGAGAACTTTATAAAAAGCCTCTCCCCCACTTAGATTCGACTAAGTTTTCACAGTACATGAGAATCGAAGGATTCCCAATCCTTCTTGCTTTCTAATATCCCACTGATGACAACCTGTGCCTGCCAATGCCAGCGTTTAATCACCGATTAAACCTTGAGATCTCCCATCCTCAGAAATCTTGATGAGTACTCTTGAAATCTGATCCAGTCTGACACCTCAATCCACCTCCCATGCTGACAACTGGAGGCCTTAATCTCCACTCTGGCTGACGAATCCTCGTCACCACTTCCAATTTTGTAGCACCACTGAACTCTAACCGAACACAGCCCTTGCGGAAATACAATTCTCTTGAACATCCAATGACCAACCACTTATGCATCTAACACCTGCAACTAACACTACTCTCTTCATGTTACCAGTTCTATCCTAACAACGGTAGTGCCTTGAACTCCAAATTCATACATAGACAATTGTCGACCACGCCTGAACAATGATAGAACCCCTGAACACTGACTTCACTGGAGAACTATCACTCTAACCCTGACCGAGGATCTTCCAAACAATACTCCTGCACAGATCTCGACAGAGATCCGAAGTGATAACGGTACACGCGGAACCCGCTCCGCAAGGTACGTCCCTCTGTGTGTTCATCAAGGACCTTTCGGCATGCAGGATGGCATATTTGATCCTTGATAACCCAAACATTAGCAGAAAACCGACCCGAGATCGACTTATCCAAACTCACTCACAATTCCAAAGCGATACGTATTCCCAACATCCATCTATTAGCAGTAGAAGATGAAATACCCGCAACATCTGGAGGAATATTGATCACCTTCAGCTGACATGATCAACCCTGCCACACCTGTAGCAGCCTAAACCCTTGGGGAGATAAACTCCCTTCTGCACCTTCCCGTACGTGTTGCACTGATTCCGGCCCTGCTGGCCTTTCACCCGATGATCAGAAGTCATGGGTCTCTTCCCGGGACCCTCTACTATACGCACCTGGCACAACCCTCTCTTCCTGGGGCTCTGAATCGATCTCACATCTGAAACCTCTTGGAAGTCATACCTTTCAGGGTCTAACACCCTGTCATGCTCACCAGCTCACTTGCCAATGGCTAAGCTGCACGACTGAAACATCCTCTGTCCCCAACCGGGTCACAAACTCTTCCCTGAAGCTTCTCAGATTCTCTAAGACTCTCACCGATTCGAGTATGGATCATGTGCTTTCAGTAGTACAGGCCCAATACTACCTTCCACACTTATCCATAATTTCCTCAGCAATCCTCCTGAATCCTCCAAGTCACTTCCTCAACTGGTGCACCCAAGTCTCACTAATCCTCACTACTAACCCACTGAAACATATCCTAGGCTTTCCTAGGTTCCCAAACCCACCCAGTCCTCAGCTGCTGAAAGATTCCCAGTAATGTCAACTAGCTACCTCATGAATATAGCCACATGCAATAGAGATCAGATAATCCTTCGAGTACAAGACCCATCCCTAGAACGGTTGGACTCAAAACAAGAGCTGTGCAATAGGGTCAAATCTATCACTCTGAGATTATCCAGCCTGTGCCACATGTGACTTAGCATATTCATTTAATAGCTAGCTCACATTACTAAGAGTCCCACACAGCACAAACCAAACAACATTCAAACAATGGAAAATCTAACCATCATATACTACTCAAACCATTCTATCCTCTAATCAGGAATCTGAACATACAATCCAAAGGCTCATACAATCAGGCATAACCTAAACAGGCTATCCTATCACTGACAGATCAGTACTAGCATGCAAGTCAACAAGCACATACAATAGGCACATAAGGCATCCTCCTAGATCCTTAGCTCTAATCTAGCATGCAGTTCTCATAATAATATCATAACATATCATATCATAACATGTATGGGTATCTTGGGGAAAACTTACTTGAGCTCGGCAGATTGCATGCATCACACATCTTGTTCTTTTCAAAGTTCTTTTATCTTTGCAAATTCTTATAGAAATTCGTTTTATAAAATGACTTTCCTTTGAAAACTATCATACTAAGTCCTCAGTTTGAGTCCAGACACACCCGAAAGTGTGCCCGAATCCCTCAAACCAAGGCTCTGATACCAACTTGTAACATCCCAAAATTCAAGACCAAAAATTTCGTTTTAATTAAGTTATTATATAAAACCATCAGTAAAAAAAACATTCATATTAATATCTCATGTCAAACCAAAGTGTCAGTAAGCAAAACATGTTATCATAAAGTAATATCAGAGTGTAATCCCAAAGATCTCATGTGCGGAAAAACATAGTGTGATGCGCTGCGATCGAGTCGGCGCCTTTCCTTTGAAAACGAAGTACCTGAAACCAAAACTGAAAACCGTAAGCACGAAGCTTAGTGAGTTCCCCCATCATACCACATACCATACAATCACATACTACCAGGCATATATGGGTGCCCGGCCTACCCTGTCAAGCATATCTGGGTGCTCGACCTACCCTGTGAAGCATATCTAGGTGCTCGACCTACCCTGCTGAGCATACCTGGGTGCTCAACATACCCCTGCTAGGCATACCGGGGTGACTAACCTACCCCTGTCAGGCATATATGGGTGCCCGACCTACCCCTTTGGTCCTACCGACCGGTAACCGGGGACTATTTCACCCCCTACTACTACCACATAATATCATATCACATATATCATAATCTTTCTAGCATAGCTGGGTACTAAACTACCCCTTCGGCCCTATCGACCGGTAACCAGGGACTATTCCCCCTACTACCACTATCACATAACATCATAG